CAGAGTGCCAGATTCATCGCCGTCTCGGCGGCAAGTTGTTCTTCGGCCTCGAGAATTGATTGAAGATCCGGGGGGGCAATCTGCTTTGGTGGCAGATTTAAGCTGCGACCCCCTCTGGTGAACCAGTAATGGGGATCCCACCATCAAATTAAGGAACCACCCAATTAGAATGAAAAAGAAAAGTTGTATTTAATTAGTCTGTCCTATATAGTTGGAAACTCAATAGCACATAAATGGATAAATAATAAGCTGCGACCCTTTTATGAAAGCTGCTTTTGATGCAGCTTCTTCCGAATGGTTTTAATCCATCGGAGTCAAATGGAAGAGTCTTCCAATCCCATGAGGCATAGAGGCTGGCTGAGGTGGTTCTTCAACAGTTTCAACAGACCCGATCATGTCAGTATCGGGCTCATTGACAGTGAGGAAGGCTTTCTCCTTCCCTTTCGAAACGGCTTGGCCCATTTACGTGCATTTAGAAGACTGGTGAAGGCCAGGTAGTTCTGCGAGAGCCATCGAGCGGACTCTCGAGTTGTCCAAAATAGCGTTGCGGAGCTTTTTCCGAACAGGTAGAATGGTAAAAATACCAGCGGCTCGATCACCAATGTTCGACAGAAAGCGAAGAGCGCTAGAGGGCGAGAGAGAAGGATGAAGGGAAGATTTAAAGATTCGAATTTTAAAACTTGGTCTGCCTCTATTTGTTTGTATTTTTTAAGTCCATTCCTGAAGCTCTAGATATGATATAGGTTTAGGACTGTTGGAGCCGCCAGGAATCACAGTGTTCATTTCCACAGCCTACTCACGCCAATCGCGTGAATTGCCGCCTAAACTATAGCACATTTGAACCCGAACCCGCAAGGTAAGATTAAACACCTCTACGCGGTGTCCTTTACGAGCCTGGGAGTGAAATATTCGCCTAGAGCCAAGTTCAATCAAATTTTGCGATACCAAAGAAGTTGGCCCACGAGGCATTAATTCAAGATACTCCACGAAATCAATTTCTCCCACCCAACGAGATCGATCCACACCAAAACCTCATCAAGTACACAAGTACGACCTAGTACATCCTCATTCCAATGATTACACATCTCGTCGACTTTCTCTGGCCTCAGCCGGTCACCAAATACACGCCCACGCCGATATTTATACCTGACGGAGGAAGCAAAGCGTGAAGCACAAATCTGGGAGAAAGCTCTTTGGGATGGACGTGAGAGGAATCAGGACATGTTCACAAGATGATACAAAGGAAGGATATTACCTCGAAGAGCGTGGAATTTTGTATTTTGGCAAGAGTTTTACGAATTGAGCTTTGTGCGCGCCAAGACTTCGCTTGCGAGAGTGCAGCTGACACTATAAAAATAAGCAGACGATGGAAGGTGTCGTGGTCCGCCTCCTGGTAGTGTTCTCCGGTATAGTTTGAGTAGCCTGGGCACCTACTCCACTTGGGAAGGAGACATCTCAGATTACATCTCGCGTGGAGAAAATTTGATGGATGACGAAGGCATGTCTGGATAACTCAGGTTTTTTGAGACGTTCCCCTGGGTGGGTGTTCACGGATGAGGGTTGACTTGGGGTGAAGAAAAGCCACCATAACTTCGCAGTGGTACCTGCAAATGAATTCCGGGGCATGAGTGCTCTTCCCTTACGTTGAATCATCTATTCTGTACTTTTCTTTGATTTTGTGTCATAGCTAGATAGCTGCATACGCAATTGAAATCTGATGCAAAAAAAAAAAGATGTTAGGTTATTCCTATCACGTAAAATATTTCAAATCAAATCAATCATTATATTTATAAGACTCGATACTAGTCACCTTTCCTCTTTGTGTACAATCTCAATCACCAGATTAGACCTCTTCAACCTATCCTATGACGTTAACCCTGACACTGGTGTCGTTTTAACACCGGCCCTCTCAATTTCTGGACAATTTTATTTCAACGACAACCAGGGCCATCACCATTGCTTAGGCATACTTTCACCCTTTTAAGGAGAGTCATAATAGGAACCATGATATCTACCTTGCTAGGAGTGAGAGACTGATATATATCGGAGCCCTGAATCATTGCGTTTTGAGCCGAGTCGTTCGGTATTCCGAAATTTAATTTAAATTGTCCCCGAATGAATACCTCGTGGTCTCAAGTTCGTACGAAACGCCGCTGGTAGGTTCTCAATCTTTGTCCCCTAAGTTTTACGTATCATTAGATTATTATTATATTTCTCAGTTAGAAACTTTCTAGGATGTGTAGGTCCTCTCTGACTACGGGGCGAGGATGATAACGTGTTGTAATTGTCAGAGCTTACGGAGACTTTCTTGGCAGACGGTTTAGGATTGATTATTGATGAATTAATATGATCTGCTGGTAGTTCATGTTCGGACCTGCGAAAACTTGCGCGGTAGAAACGCTTCTCGTATACACATCTGAGCTAGCTGAATCCTCACCTTGTTTTCCTAATACAGTGTTACGGGTTATTCTAGTTTAATCAATCTGGTATAATACCTAGAAACGCTTTCTGTACAGTGCTCCATTATTCCTCTACTCATCACGGAATCACTTGGAGTGTTCTTCCTTCGCTTTCAGTGATCATTACCCTTGTGCATCGTAATCCTAGCTATCACCAGCACACTACTTTGTAAGTAAACTTCCTCATTAGATGACTTTGTTATGGTACCCAATAAGTTTACAATTTTTACTACACTTATCAGTGATTATAAATTAGTTCATAATTGTAAAGTGAAGTTCCGGGATATATAAATTGACTCAAATTAATGCTACAATTCGGCAGGGGCTTTGGACGCGATCATGTCGACACCGTCATCGCTAAGTTGTAATCGCTGACTATTAGTTAAATGCGAGAATGAGATTGTCGACTAGGGGTACTTGGATCCTTCAACATCCACTGGTCCACGACGCCACTGCATGGTGGACGCTGATACGATGGTTCCGGTGGGAAGGAGGCGTGCCAAATGCCATGTCACTGGCAACTTGCTCCATGAAATTGACGATAGAAAAGTGACGCGGATCTAGCGCCATCCTGATGGTCGCACGCTTCGGGCCGCATGTCCTCGGCATCCGCGGGATGCCGTGCTTACCACCCGAGATTGCCCAAGGCCGCTCAAGCCACAGGGCGACGCAGGAAATCCTTCCCTCTACCACCCCTGAAATTTTGAAAATTTACTAGTTCGAGCTCCCACTTCAACTGGATAAATCTCATCCGGATAGCCTGTGCAGAGGCAGTGGATTTGGCTCTCAAGCTTTGACACGACCGCAATCCCTGTCCCAATTTTGCCAATTCGTACTCGCTAGTCCCCAAAAAATCTATTCCCGACAAATAACGCTAATTTCCTACTGTGGTTACCTAACTTAATCTCTTCTCTGTGCGAACAAGCCACGCTTTCGATCTTGATGATCAGGATACGGATAATTCCCACCTCCTTCTCCGACGGTTGGATCGAAAAGTTGAGGCGGAAGCCTTGGTCACTTCTTGGACCTTGGGTGTCCGTCAAAGGGAAAAATTAGATGCCTTCCGCTACTCCTACTCCTACTCCTTTGCACCTTCATCTCCATCCGGCAGCCTCGCCATGTCAGCCAAGCTTCTCCGTATTCAGAGTCAGCAGGTGACTCAGTAATACTTCAAAGGCAATCAGCCCGGATGGAAAGTCAAGGTACTATCGTGACTGAGATTCTACTAGGAATTTTATTTGCAGCAATTAAAATGTCGTGCTAGTGCTCCACTCGAGGCCCAAGGTCACGCCGCAACTCGTCCGGCCTGGACTATTTGATGGGTGGGCCCTCACAAAAATTCGTGACAGTGTAAAATAAGTATGCTCAATTCCTAGGACCCGACAAATTAAGCCGGACTTGGAAGAAGTAGCAGAGGATGACATCTTCTCGAGCGATTTCCCGAGTCATTACTTCTCTTTACCCACCTTCACCGTATCAATGGCCCGAAATTAGTCCATCCCAAAACCAGTATCTTGGTAATTTTTTTAAAGCCCAATGAACACGTTCCGCTACATTTTCCCTTGGCCTAAGTGTCCGTCAGGCCAACAAGCCGAGACCTACATCAAGTCTCCGCTGTTGATTGGCGCCGCAAAATTTATCCAGAGTCCTACCAGCTTTCCGCCAAATTAAGATCTAACAGGACAAACTCCGTAAGAAATTGAGAAATGAAATTACAGGAGGTTGCTTAAGGCTTGAGTACGTCAAATCTTCATAGAAGAGAGCTTCTGAGTGGCTTCACTTGCTGTGGCTTAACCCATGAATGACGTATGGCTAGAATCCGGCCCTAGGATAGGATGAGGCTCGGAAATCACATAGTTCGACACGTGATAAGATTCGACCTCGCTCATGGCGGGTCTCATTCCCGTTCTAAGCTGTATCGCCAGTCAAACATCCCATAGCTTTCTGTCTCTGAAAGTCCTACGAGGAAATATATATCTTGCCTAAGACCACTGTCAAAGATCCATCAGAGAATTCAAGCCGTAGTCTGTGTAATTGACATAGTGTCGTAATGATCAATCACGTAAAAGTTTAATACAGACAGTATTTCTTCTTGGTCCATATTGGTACTGATGAGCCTTATACAGATATACTCCTACGATGCAATTGTATCTCTGGCCTCTAGATAATATGAACTGATTTACATAAATAGCTTCCAATTTACTCGCGATGCAGTTCACTCAGTCTAGTGCCCACTACTCCATGTGACATTATCTGGAAACTGATAAATGCAGCCAGAAACCATGAACACCCTCGAAAAAGAGTAACCTAGAGAAGAGAAATACCTTTGAGGCCCGTAGGAAAGTTGAGTCGTGTCGGTAGCGTGATTTTAATTCTTATGAATAGTTGATGAGAGTCATTAACTTTGTGGATGGTCTTGTTTACCATTGAGAGCCCGCGTGATGATGATAGAGACAGTCAGCGTTGATGGCGCATGAGAACGATGCGTCTCGCACTGTGACGAAATGGCACTATAAATTCTTTCAATCATACATCATTCACTTAATCAATTATCTCTTCATATTCCTCCACGATTTCTTCAACGATCTCTTCGATGATTTGATCCTCACCGTCTACAGCACCCAGAAGACCTTCGATTGGATCGGAAGGTAAGCCTCGCATAGCTCGTTCCTCTTGCGAATCCTCCTCTACTCCTGACCGCCACGATAACCATTCGTCTAGGAGTCGTCGGCGGTGCTCGACGACAGCAAGGTCAGCAGAGGCACCACGATCAGCGTCTTCTTGATCGAAAACTTTGCTATACTCCCGTAGATTCTTGCGGATAGCCTTTTGTTCTTCTTTGGTTAATAGCGTAGCGGGGCGTGGGCGCCATAGCCATTGCTTGAATTTTTCTACGGGCTCATCACGGAGTTGTTCACCTTTAAAGTCATATAGGTGGTAGCCATTTTCCATCTTTAAATAAGACATTAGATCTCAAAACTATAAAACGTTGGAATGAGCACTTACGGTATGCTTCCACATACTAGCACTCGTAGCTACGTATCGTCCAGTAGGATCCCAGTCAATGTCAGTAACGCCATAGTGATCAGCAGTATTCATGAGTTGCAAATTTGCAGTGAGATCTTTGTCGCTTTCAAGTTTCTCGCCCTCAAAATCCATGTCGTAGAATTCCATGTCATAACTCTGTTGGGAATGAACGGTAGCAACGACAACAAACCGACCTTTCGGGGACCAATAAATAGCATTACTGTTTTTTTTCTCGTTAGTCCGAATATGCTTAAAGTTGCCTACACCAGCCCCCTTAATTTTTTCAGGACAGTAAAAACTGACTGATGTTTTAGGCGGAACAGCCGATGGAAGAATAGCCTCGGCGGTTGTGATAATGACAAAACGATCCCCCTTTGGCTCCCACGCAAAGTTAATAACGGGATCTTTGATTGTATCAACTACCTCGACCGGTACTTCCTTTTCTCGAACGCGAAAGATTTCTAGACTGGTAGCTAGAGATTTCTTAGACTTTGAATGACGATCTACCTTAACACAGAGGTAGTCTGCGTTTGATTGCCAGTGTAATTTCGCGTCTGCGACACTGAAGAGGTTAAGCGTTCTGACAATATCCTTCGACGGGATACTCATAAGACCAACCTTGGCTGGGTTGCTCCCAATTTCAGGTGTCCAGAAACAGAATAGTTGCTCATACGTCTTAACACCATCTCGATGAGGTGAGGCCGGAGCCCATTCAAAGTCCATCACTCCATCGATTTTGAGGGGCTTTTTGTCAAGTGCGTTCATGGCAGGTAGTTCGTAGACGAAGATCGAGGTTCCCTGGTTTAGACGAGCGACATATCTGTCGTCAGCGGACCATTTAAATGCAGGCCAAACGACTTTCCTTTTTGCAGGTTGACCAGTTTCATCTGTACCGCTGCTAGGAGATTCTAGATTTACGAATGACCGAAGCGGCTTTCCTGTTTCGATGTCCCAAATCACATAGTTCTTTCCGTCGTCATCAACCGAAAGCGATGGGTGGCCTTCTTCCGAAATAACAATTGGTCGGTTTGACCAGGTGGTTAGATATTTTTCTCCAGGAGAGAAATCAACTAAATTGACGTACGGATGGGCAAATCTTTTCTGTCTCGTCCACTTTGGTCCACCCCATAGTTGAACCCCTTGTTGATGCATAGAAGTTAGATAAGTTCCTTGAGGAGACCATTGAACGAAGGATTCTGTCCAATGTTGTCGGTCAACGATACTATCGGGGGGATCTTTTTCATTGTTCCAGAAGACTTGCACATGATCATCCTTGTACATAACAAACTGATCTCTTCCTCGCCCGCTTGGGTCTGCGAGCCATGATCGTAGATGATCCTTTTCCTGAAATTCCTCAATCTTAGGAGGAACATAATTCTCATCAATGCGACCTTCACGTCCATAACGTTCGATGTCTGTCAACTTATTGACTCTTAGAGTATGTTTCTTATCTAGAGGGACACCATCAAGCTGCTTGCACGCGAGAAGGGCCTCAGCTGCTGTCGCATATTCGACGAATGCAAACCTATGGTAATCAACCATCTATCTTTTAATTAGGTGTTTAAAAAGCAACTCACTTTTCTGATTTTCCGTCATCTCCGAGCGGCATGTGAATTGATTCCTCTTTGATTTTTCCAATGACGTCTAGTTTACGCTTTAAAAATTTGATGAGCTTGGGTTTAGTCTCTGCAGTTACTTCCGGGAGTCCATCAACCACGACAAATGCGTCAAGTCCTTGCTCTAATTGTACTTCGAATCTCTCTTTGAGATCAGAAAAATCAAGCTCCTCATCCTCATCACAATCCTCATCTTCTGGGTCGGGGAGATGATCAAAGCTAGGTGCCATGATTGCGGTTCAAATGTCTCCTTTCAGCAGTATTAGAGGCTAGGCACTTATATTTCGGGATATTCAGGGTGGTGCCCTCTTTTAGGACAGCTACAAGCTCTTGGTCGGCTTCCAGTTTTAGAAGATATGATTGTAGAGGTTTGGAGGTACGGAAGAGTTGTGGGCACCTTAAGTATGTAAATTGTAGACTTCCGATCCTGGGCAACGGCGTCACGATGACTGTCATACGAAATTAATGTGTGAAGAATTTGCCGAACTAGGGTCTGACTAGGCGAAGCCGCTAGCAACTGGCAAAACCTGTTGTACATTTATAGCATCTAACGCGCCAACGACCTACGCAATGGCATCATTTAATCCAACTCAGATATTTGAAGATGGCACTACAGAGGAAAAAGGGGAAAATGCTCGTCTTTCATCTTTTGTTGGGGCCATTGCAGTTTCTGATTTAGGTAAGCCATTCAAGGATGAAAGCTTCTAGAAATTTCAAATGTAGTTGAGAAATATAGACATAAAACTAACTCTTTCAGTGCGCACAACTTTGGGGCCTTACGGTGGTGACAAAATCCTTCAAAGCGCCTCGTCAGGCGAGATTATGGTTACGAATGACGGTGCAACTATCCTTAAAGCAATAGCACTCGACAATGCTGCCGCCAAAGTCTTAGTCAACATCGCCAAGGTTCAGGATGATGAAGTTGGGGACGGAACCACATCAGTTACTGTTCTAGCCGGAGAACTGCTACGGGAAGCCGAAAAGCTTGTAGATAAAAAAATACACCCACAGACAATCATTGAAGGCTACAGGATTGCAAGCCAAGCAGCTCTTGCGGCTCTTGAAATGTCTGCCGTAGATTTTAGTGATGACAAAGAAAACTTTAAAAGAGAGCTGAAATCAATTGCCCGGACGACCCTCAGCTCGAAAGTTTTATCACAGGACCGAGATTATTTTGCAGATCTCGCCTGTGACGCAGTTCTTCGAACAAAAGGCTCCTCAGATCTTAATCAAATACAGATTATTAAAAAAGCAGGGGGAAAACTTGAAGACTCGTACCTCGACGATGGATTCATATTAGATAAGAAAATTGGCGTCAACCAACCTAAAAGGCTAGAAAAGGCAAAAATTTTAGTCGCGAACACTTCAATGGATACAGATAAAATTAAAATATTTGGTGCACGTCTAAAGGTTGGGTCTACTGGAAAGCTTGCAGAGTTTGAAAAAGCCGAAAAGGAAAAGATGAGGGCAAAAGTTGAAAAGATAAAAGCACATGGGGTTAATTGTTTTATTAATAGACAGCTTATTTATAACTGGCCGGAACAACTGTTTGCTGATGCCGGAATCATGTCCATCGAGCACGCAGACTTCGATGGTATTGAAAGACTAGCGTTGGTGACAGGGGGCGAGATAACATCTACATTTGATCATCCTGAACAGGTCAAATTGGGACAATGCGATGTTATTGAGGAGGTTATCATAGGCGAGGACACCCTAATCAAGTTCTCAGGTGTAGCTGCTGGCCAGGCCTGTACAATTGTGCTTCGTGGAGCCACTGAGCAGTTGCTAGATGAAGCTGAACGATCCCTTCACGATGCTCTTGCAGTTTTATCACAAACAGTCAAAGACCCTAGAACCACATTAGGAGGAGGTTGTGCAGAGATGATAATGGCCAATGCAGTGGATGCTGCTGCTCTGAAAGTATATGGTAAAAAGCAGCTAGCGGTTGAAGCTTATGCTGTCGCTCTTCGTCAGCTTCCTACGATAATCGCCGATAACGCTGGCTTTGATTCAAGTGACCTAGTTACAAGGCTACGAACAGCTATCTATCAAGGCTTGACAAGCTACGGTTTAGATATGCGTACTGCTGGAGGTCAAATAGCGGACATGCGTAAGATGGGTGTTATTGAGAGCTACAAGCTAAAGAGAGCTGTGGTCAGCTCGGCATCCGAGGCATCTGAAGTGAGTTTGAACAGACATTGCAGTGTCAGTTTCACGTACTTACCATCTTATAGTTACTACTGAGAGTTGATAACATCATCCGTAGCGCACCCCGAAAACGCGAGAGGTAAAGTGGTAAGAACATGCAGCGAAGTTCATGTTAAATGGAGATATATGAATGTCATGATGTATCGCAAAAGATATCACATTGCGAGCTAATAATGAACAAAACCAGTTTGGCTCAAATCAGCCTATTAGCGAAACTTGAACACATTGCCTAAAGCTCTAGAATAATAAGACATGTCGTCATCCTGTAATTCTCAAACGTTCATAAAGAGATAGTTAGTAAGCCACTCGATAGGTTCATCCGTGCTTAAGGAAAATTAAGTTTACGGATCGATAGGTGAAGCTCTAACTTTCTCCACATTTCGTCCCCTACCACTGAAAATCATAGTCGATGTCAAAGTAAATCTGTAAACTATGAGAGGGTGTTAATTATGTATCAACCTTTTGGAGAAATTTTCCTCTACCTAGAAAATGTTGTGCAAATTTGTAGCTGATCCGCCCGGACACAATAAAAATGGGGGGGCTAATGTGACCAAGAAGCGCATTGACAGTTTCGCTCGGTCAAGCATTGAACGAACCCACAGTATTCCACCGATGTAAGGTTGACAGGAAGATATCGTTTCATGTAAGACCTACAGTTACATTTGAATGATTTTTGGTGTTCATATTGTTATTAATTGTCAGGGCGTAGTGGTAGCTACAGCAGCTATATGTACCCTAACAACCTTGCTCAAAATTGGATTCATGCAGTTCTAGCTCTACATAAAGTGTATTGAGCCAGTTTACCCCTCCTTGAAACGCCATCTGGGGCTAGCACGGATCCCACAGCCCCAGTATGGGAGCTGCCGGCATAAGATGGACCGCCTCAAACCCTCGCTCAAGGCTAGTTCCTCCGAGTATATGACACCTGCTGCTTATGTCCACCCTTCTTACAATGAGAATCCTCTTTCTTCAAATTCCCTCAAAAGTATTACAATCTCAAATCCCCAGTCTTGTCCAAAAGTTTACTCGGACAGTTCTTAATTTACATGACAAACCTTGTATTCAACTCCAATCCATTCGCCGTGCTGAAGTTCCAAAATGCCGCCACGGCGGCCACCGCGAATCTCTCTCAGTATGAATAACTTGCTTCCACTGGCTACAGTAACACTCTTCCTATCATGTCTCGTCCAGGCTCAGCAGCAGCACTGGCAGATAGTTAAACAGCAACAAAATTCTAACACCCACACAAAAGACACAAAATATTTAGAATCTATAGAGACAATCGAGAAACAGAGATACATTGATATCCTTACACCTAGCCAACAGATTCTTCTTGCTACTAACAAAAATGATAACGATGCGAGCGCCATCGCAACTTTGGCTCCGGCAGAGAACGCCGTTGTAGCACCTCTCCCGCGACTACAATCTAGCAATAAATCTGGATTATCATCGCCGCAAATTGCGCGGAGTCTGCGGGACTGGGAAGTAGAAGATTTCGTTCTTCTGGCGACCATCGACGGTAAATTGCATGCTCTCGATCGCAACACAGGTGAGGAGAAATGGGAGATATCGCACGAACAACCGATGGTGCAAATCAAGTACCATCCAAGAACTCTATCAGATACTACGAAGAGCAATATTCCTACGGCTATTGACGACTATCTTTGGATACTTGAGCCAAGCAATGACGGAAAGCTTTTTACCTATCGACCTTACGGTCCTAACTCCGGAATAATTAACACGGGTCTCACGATGAAAAAGTTGGTAGAAGAAATGTCGCCATATGGGGATGAAGATCCACCAGTAATGTATACCGGAGAGAAAAAGACAAATCTTCTCACAGTAGACGCCAATACCGGTAAAGTTCTGAGTTGGTTTGGATCGATGAATTCCTTGATGACGAAGGAAACCTGCTACATAGGTGGTGAAGCAAAAGAGGAAGAAGATGGAAAATGCCCAAAAACTGCAACCATAACACTTGGAAGAACAGAGTATACCGTTGGGATTTTCGGGAGAAAAGACGGTCACCACATTGCAACTATAACCTATTCCGAATGGGGCCCCAACAACTATGATCAAGACCTCCAAATTCAGTACATACAGAACGCAACTACACTTGACAATAAATACATTTACCCACAGCACAACGGCGATATAATCGGAATAAACTATGAGCGAGGTCCTGAACAAAAAAAGCCTGGTTTTTTGTTCCATCAAAAGTTTCCATCTCCAGTTGTTCGTGTATTTGATGTCGCTCGTCCATGGGGCTCTAATAAAACTGCACCTGACCTTGTTATACTCTCACAGCCCCAGGCACCATTTATTGAGGATGAAATTTCGACATCAAGTCGCTCAAACAGTGTGTTTCTGAACCACACAGAAGATGGTAGTTGGTACGCTATATCTGAAACATTTCATCCTCTGATTTCCGGTGGTACCCGTCAAGCGAGATGTAACCTAGAAAGCTGGCTAGATCAGCACCCAAACTGGAATATCCTGAATAACACTCAAATTTCTGAGGCACTTGTCGGCTTACACTCAGTTGATATCCATGAATCTGAGGAGGTCGATGAGCTTTTAACAATTTCTGCTCCAGATACTGATGAGACTCGGGAAGATTCCCAGAACGAGATCACCCCGGAGTTTGGTGAAGACACAGCCCCCCTAGAACATATTTTGCAACTACCCAGAATTGCTGCTCACAGTCTAGTTGAATTCCTTAAGAACCCCACACTTCTTATTTTAATGCTCGTCTCTGTAATAATCAACCAAAGAAAAATACGTGTAGCCCTTGGAAACAGCTTTAATAACAGGGATGGAATCCCTGTAATAAGTAACGCATTTGTAAAAGCTGTCGCAGGAATCGGAATTTTCTCAAACTTATCTCAAAAAAACCTGGTTAAGATAACCGCGGCTGATCCTGCCGTAGACTTATCTAAAAATACACCAAAATCTTCTTTGGCCACTGTTCAAATATCTGAGTTAAACCTTGGCCTAAAAGAACGAGATGGGCCTGCGGAACAACCTCATCAGGCTGAAATAGAAAGTCCAAAAAAGAGAGAAAAGAAGGCACATAGGGGACATCGTGGCGGAGTAAAACACAAGAAAGGCGCACGCAATAATGCCCGAGAAGGCATTGTAGCCTCCAATCCCAAACTCAAAGACCCACTGTCAGTAGGGCAAATTGTTAGGGAGGCTCAAGAAATGTCCCCTCCTACAAGAATTGAACCAGACATACAACATATGTCTAGTAATCCACAGGAAATTTCTGGATCTTTAATCCGAATTGGAGCCTTGGAAGTCAATACAGATAAACTCATCGGAACCGGTAGTAATGGAACGATGGTCTTTGAAGGGAGATTTGATGGTAGAGAAGTGGCTGTGAAAAGGATGCTCATCCAATTTTTTGATATTGCCTTTCAGGAAACTAAGCTGTTAAGGGAAAGTGATGATCACCCAAATGGTAAGCTCAATCCATGGCTTTCCCACAATTCTAATTTTTCCTAGTCATTCGTTACTTCACTCAACAACAAGCTGCCGGATTTCTTTATATTGCATTAGAACTTTGTCCTGCATCTCTTGCTGATGTCATTGATAAGCCCCACAGTTATCGAGAGCTTGCACTAGCCGGTGAGAAAGACCTCCCAAACGTTCTCTATCAAATTACGAATGGTCTACGTCATTTACATAAGTTACGGATCGTACATCGCGACCTAAAGCCCCACAATATACTTGTCTCAATTGATAAAGATGGAAAGCCACGCCTTCTTGTGTCAGATTTTGGCCTATGCAAAAAGTTAGAAGGCGAACAATCCTCGTTTCGAGCCACTACGGCACATGCTGCTGGGACTTCGGGCTGGCGTGCACCAGAACTACTCCTTGATGATGATGCCAAAGATGGAAATCTCGCTCTTGTTGATGCAAGCACTGATGGATATTCCGATTCCATAGAACTCAGCACTGGAACCTTTTCGAATCGTCGTGCTACTCGTGCAATAGACATCTTTTCTCTTGGACTTATATTTTTCTATGTTCTGACAAAAGGTAGCCACCCATTTGACTGTGGTGATCGCTTCATGCGTGAAGTAAATATAAGAAATGGAAAATATGACTTGAGATCACTAGAAGTTCTTGGCGATTATGCATTCGAAGCAAAAGATCTCATCAGAAACATGCTTGCTGCTGAGCCAAAACATAGACCACAAGCATATCGAGTGATGGCTCATCCATTTTTCTGGTCTGCCAAAAAAAGGCTCAATTTTTTATGCGACGTTTCTGATCACTTTGAAAAAGAGAAACGAGATCCACCCTCTCCTGCGTTACAAGAGCTTGAATACTATGCTGCCGAGGTCTGTGGTGGTGACTTCCTGAGGCTCCTCGGCAAGGATTTTGTTGATAGTATGGGAAAGCAAAGAAAGTACACGGGATCTAGATTACTAGATTTACTAAGAGCGTTGAGAAATAAAAAGAACCATTACGAAGATTTAAGCGAAAAGCTCAAGAAAGAAATCGGCCCTTTACCTGAGGGCTACCTTAGCTACTGGTCTCGAAGGTTTCCACAATTACTAGTAATTTGTTGGTCGGTAATTTATGATTTGCACTGGGATGAAATAGATCGATTTAAGGACTATTATGAGCCCGTTGGAATTGAGAGATGAATAAATTTGAAGATGATGATAACCTCAAACGAAATCCGCTGATGTATGATACGAAAGTAATGAGTAATTAATGTGTCGAATTTGGATATGCTTAAGGACGGATCTGGGATATGGGATTCAGAAACTTTGAGTTACAGTACAATCAAACTTTTATTAGAATTGATAATTTGACCGTTGGAAATTGATGTGATGGCGTACTGTTGTTCTCGACCTATGGCCATACCGGTTGTTTATGTCCTCATATCTGCAAGTCTTGCTTACTTAAAAATGATACTTGCCCCTTAAGTAGTAAATTTTCTGTCATGATTTAGTTAAGGTTATTCTGAACTTGTAATAACATTAAAGACTTCTCATTTCAAAACATATTCCAGGATACTTATTTCCCTACTGTATTTTCCCTCAAATTGTAACTAAAAAAATTGGGGTTATCTTTAGACCACGAGCAATATGCCTTTGTTAATTGTTATACTTGAATCTACGACTATCTAGTTTATTGAGCCCCCCTCTGACCCAGGCCACACCATGCACTATGCTCCTATCCTCTTTTATTACTTCAAAGGTCATAGATATATTGCCCGTGATGAATAGTGTTGGAAATCGAGACACAGAGTGTTGTGGACGTACGGGCCCTCCATTTCGTCTATGTTCCCGACACGATCATATGTGTATTTAAGAGGTTGGAATAGGTAATATGGTAGCGCTTCAGGCTATCTATTGGAGACATGAGCAGCTGTATGGCCTGGGCACAAGGAGGTTATTGGGAGTTTTCTATGCCTAGATGGCGCCACACTCGTTTATGCTGTGGCTCTGGCTCTGTGTCGCTTACACTTGTTTTTTTTGAGTCATTTAACGTGTATTCAGCTACCTCGCTATGATACATGACCGATGCTATGTATATACGCAGGATGACTCTTTTGACGTCAGAGACACTCATACTCGGGGCTTCATTCGCAAATACCGCCATGAGGTACGTTCGCTTACACAAACAGTCGACCCTCCTCCGTGACTACTTACCAAAAAGAAATTCATCCCTTTTTATTATGCAAGTAGGGGGACTATTCTCAACATCTATCAGTGATGTCCCCTACGAACCTCCAGCTCTCACTGTAAAGTCTACAGAGCCAAGATTGAGTAACACCTTATTAACTTTGAGCTGAGTTATCTCTCCCACCGTCAAAGATACGCCTCCGATAACTCATAAGACGACCAAGACGATGATAATGATATTGGAAATGAGGAAAGATAATGCGGTACCAAACGCTACAATGGTAGTCAGAGAAGCCCTCGTTATGTCACAACATGTGCTATCCACCGGCGGGCGAACAAAAAGCCCACGAAAGCAAAGTAAAAGACCCTTCCGCCCTCAAGAAAAGCAGATTTCGAGTCATCAAAAACATCGTCCCTACTAATCTTTACCCCCGAATCTACTAGCCAGAAGGGCATCTGAAATACATGAGTTACTCAACAACCCCACGTCCGTAACGACTTTTGGATACTAGGCTAGGCTCTTTCACGACTGTCACTCTCGACCAAGACTTTTCTGGCATCCTTTCACGACCTTCGGTTTGTCCCGCGGCATGAATCAGGGAAAGCGGAAGGAGGAGGCCAGGAAGGTTGAGAGACACTTTTAGGTATACACAGGTCTACTGCGCCCGGCTGGCCGACCTCTTCGTCATAGGTGAGTCCCGCACCCAGTGGTTTTTGATACTTTTCTCTGCAGCTACACACCCGCAGATGACCGGAGGACGAAGGCTGAATACCTGCCAGTGGTGTCCTCTACGAACCTGGGAGTGAAATACTCCCCTAGAGCCGAGATTCAGACACGACAAAGGGTGAATTTGAGAGCTTTCGTCGGGTTGGCTATCGGGAGGGGTGGTGTTGGCTCATTTTTGGTCGAAAATCCGACTTGCAGAGATTTCACGACTGCACAGCTCAACAAAAACAACCATCTACACTCCAGATACGAACCGACTCCTTCATGGTCTTATTTTCTATTTCTCTGGAAAATCACTCCTAGCCAAACTCATCTCGCGGCCCTCTCCACAATCATCTCATCACCTACCAAAGCAATCCCACACCTCCAAAAGTCAGTTCGCCAACAAATAAGCAAGAGGATATCCGACCCTCTACAACTGCCAGTCCCTGTGAAGGTACGGTGGAAATACCGGCCTTAAGTGCGTCCTCACCTCGGCCAAGGGCACCAACAACTCGACCTGCGACGAACTGCCACCGACGAAATATGTACGAGATTTCGCCGGCACACCAACAGAGCGTTCGTCAAAGGCTGGGGCACCGGTGCCTCGGTCTTGAGCTCTCAGTCGCATTTTCGACATCCACGGTTAGGGGTACGGCAGCGACGGGGCAAGGCCGGAGGGGTGGACATTTTACAAAGTTTTTGGGATGACGAGATCGGCTGAAGGATAGAGGGATGCTGTATGAAGGAATCAAAAGGGAATACAAACTGAGGAGGCCTTGGTGGGCGACTGGATGAGGCCTCCAGTGAAGAAAACGAACCCTGAATGAGAAGAGAAGATGCTGAGGTGAGCCAAAGCTGGGACTGAATGGAAGGGAAAAGTTACAGATGGCGAAGGTGTCAAGGGCTCGGGCTCGTGGTGGCCGAGGCTGAGGAGGAATTCGCACTTCGATGCGCCAAAAGGGGGTTCTCTGGACGGTTGGGCTTGACATGATTCAACACATGGGTGAAGTCTGAGGTGGTCCAGTCATTCAGGTGGGACGAGGTAGATGTACTTAATGGTGGTTGACCTGATCCAGTCTGGCCCCACCCGTGCTTAAGCTCCAGTAGGAGTGGAGCGGTAGTCACTTTATCTAGCACGTTAATGAACAAAACAAAACAAATTTTCCTTGAATCTTAACATCACTATCAATTCATCCTCTATTCTAGCAAACAATATCTCTCGAAAGGTCTGCTTCAGAAACAAAAGTTTGCAGGCAGCTAACTCGCGATCAATATATTGAAATAAGAACATTAAGACTTGGCTTGACATTACAAAACATAACCAACGAGCTTGGCTGTATAACTGTTGGAAATACAGTTTCCTGCTTTTCTTTCTATCGACCAATGTGGTTGCATGCATCTTGCCTAAACTATATTTCTGAGTTCGGGCAGGATCCCACACTTCTGATCCAATCGGACTCAACGTTAGAGTCTGCTTGAATCCCATTCTTCCCGAACAAATCCAGTCATTGGTTTGTTCGTACTTCTATTGCGTGACCCAGTATTCTCAGTCAGTGGATAATTATTTTCTGGTCCGGGGTCCCACTTATTTCTGCAGTCGAGTCGGTTCCGGGTAACCTCTATTTCTTATAATTCCACTGTATATATCATAATACCTGTAGTCTATTAGTCAATTAAGCAAACTGAACTTCTTCTCCGTTCTCAGGCAATTCTTACTCCGAAGTCTTCTCTATACTCTAACAATAACAAGGCAAGTACCACGTGTGTGTGCTATAGAGGATGAGAGTCCTACGCCTCGCAAAGAATGCTCGATAAAACTGAGGGCGAAACAAGTCGATAAGCTTGAGGCTTTCGTCCGTGAATCTCCTGAAAATCGTCAGATGTGCTATTTGGAACTAGTGATGGGACCCTTTGGCCACTGGGGATGCAATGAGCATTAACTTTCAAATGCCCTCAAAAAAAGAGGTTGCAGCAGATGCATTGCTCGGAAGAAGCCTCCGTTCAGTGCTGTAACATGCACGAAAGATGTGTAGCGGTGATAAGGGTAAATGGAGGGTACACGAAGTTTAAGGATGCAGATGGCTATTATAAAACATATAGTATGCTTTCATTTTACTTGTGAGCCATACTGAGGGTTTCGATGTAAACTTTTGCAACATAGAGCAATTATTTTTGAAATAGATATGTATTTTTGGATAGTATCATTTTTTTTTTTTTTCAGCAGTAAGTATCAATACCGACATAAGAACAGGCAGAAAAAGAATCACCCACAGAAATACACCCTCTAACATCCACCGAAACCTGAGCAGGGCCCAAAGTAGTATTGCAATACAGATGAGAATTGAGCATATTGGCCTCAACTCTTGTCTATGTAGAAGAAAGGTCCCTGGAGTGGCAAATTCAAAGTACTATTAAGGATATCCGTCTTAAATTGTGAAACATAAGGTCTTGACTTTTCCTTAGTGGGCTAAGGGAAGAGCAGAGGTGCTGCGACGGGCGAAAGGTAGGTCTTTCGAAGCTGTGATGAACAGCCTGGATGATATGAAGAGAATTACAGAGTGGATACTTAGTAACGGTTGGATTGAACAGTTTCGGCTTGCAGAAGAAGTTGAGAAAGCGGTCAATCAAAAGATGGCGCGATCAGGAAAGGATAGGACGGAATTCACACTGAATAAACAGTGTAAACGCACTTCCTGTTGGAAACCTCAGAAAATCCAATAGACATGAGACAGATAGTTTTGGGGGCCTTTTACCGAATTATTTTCCTTTCTTGTAAATAATAAAGCTAGATATACTTGCAAGGGCCCATGGGGTACTTGAATGGGCTAAATAAAATCAAATAATATTAAAAATAATGCTCTAGGGTTTGGAAACAGTTATGGCTGGATAAAACAATTATAACGCACAAAACAAAAGGGTTGAATCGTCTCCTTTCTAGAGTACCGGCCTGAAAATAATGTAACAGTATCTAATGAGGTCGTGGAACCTCCATGGATTGAATGCTGACGAGGTATCCAATTGCGCACCACGCCTTTTTTTTTTTTTTAATTCATAGTGTATTCAGCTATCTAGCTATGACACATTTCAAATATTCCAAATTTAAACTTTCCCCCCAAATTCATCTATTTTCCCTCAAAGCCCAATAAACTGTATCCCAATCAGATATCCTAATTTAATTCCCTTTGTGTGCTGCCATGCACTTGGATATATCCAAATATTTAAGTAATGCTTCCTTCCCCATTTTTGTACAAAATAAGATTGGAAGTGTTGTTGGTTCTAAACCTTTGAAGCAAATATTCCTTTG